CCTACACTGATAATTCAAAGCAAAAAAGAAAGCTGGAGTGGAGAGGAGAGGAAAACTTTTTTTTAAAATATATTTTATTGATTTTCTTACAGAGAGAAAGAGAGAGGAATAGAGAGTAAGAAACATAGATGATAAAGAAACATCGATCAGCTGCTTCTTGCACACCCCCTACTGGGGATGTGCCCGCAACCAAGGTACATGCCCTTAACTGGAATCGAACCTGGGACCTTTCAGTCCGCAGGCTGATGCTCTATCCACTGAACCAAACCGGTTTCGGCAGGAAAACATTTTTAAAATATACATCAGACAAGAGAATTTACAAATAAACATATTTTATGTAAACTACAACCTCCCTCTTAGTGATTCAGAGAAGTAGTAAACATTAAACAGAGAATTCAAGGAAGATTTCTTTGAGAAGTTTAGCAGTTTTTAATAAAATAAAGCATGGAACTGACAGAGGACATGGAAGTAGAAGAATGATGAAGTTGGGTGTGAAGACAAGCTGGCTGCCTTGGCTAGAAAAGAGGCAGTGGCAGAAGTGACTCGGACAAGAGAATGACTGGCAGCCTGCCCAACAGAGCACGTGAAGAAATCAGATCTGCTACAACAAGCTCCCAGACACTGGGCTTCTAAGCAAGGTACTGTAGAAGACTCAGAACAGGGCAGACCTTGGTGAAAATCCGCCCCTCACTTAACAAAAGGGGAGAATGAGGTCCAGTAGCATTAAGTGACTTGCCTGAGATCTCACAGTGAGTGGAGCAGCTGGGACTATAGCCAAATCCAGATCAAATCTCTGACTGAAGAGGATCTGACATTCATGTGAGGGATGGGGGAAGGGGAGGACCAGGCCACAAAATAGTCTAGTCATTCAAGTTTGTCCTGATTAGAGCCCAGAATAGGATTATGTTGGAAAAAGGCCATGACAGGTAACAGCCAGGAATATAGGTACAGATGACCTAAGACATTTAGAAAGGAAAAAAAACACTAAGACTTAGAAACAGATTAGAGATACGGCTTCGAAAGAAGAGAGACCATCATAAGACATGATCCCCATCAAAGAAGGTCATCTTCCCACCAGCATTCACCTTTGTGAAGCTCCCATACAGAGATAAACTAGCAGCTTCCATTCAAGTTCCAAGCGCTGCCTTTCCCATACCCATTTCCAGAACCTAGAAAGGACTGGAACGTTAAAATGCCTGTGACCCTGCTGACTTGGGATAGCTCAGACTCCCTATAATGCATGATAGGATAATAGGTGAGGAATCACAGAGACAAGCTGGATGATTCTATCAACTATGATATGAAGTGTGATATGATTCTTTATCAAGAATTATGTTTGAGCCCAGGTGGGTGTAGCTCAGCGTCAACCCAGGGACCAGGTGGTCACTGGTTGGATTCCCGGTCAGGGCATATGCCCAGGTTGTGGGCTCGATCCCCAGTAGGAGGCCTACAGCAGGCAGCCAATCAATGATTCGCTCTCATCATTAATGTTTCTATCTCTCCCTCCCTCTCCCTTCCTCTCTAAAATCAATAAAAATAAATTTGACAAAGTACATAGAACTCAAAGCCCTAGAGAAGTTTTAGCCATGGTTTTAAAACCTAAATACTGGAATAACTGTAATTAAATATAACTAGTAGTACTCAGAAGGGGACCATGCCTTGTACAAACTTTAAAAGGTGTGTGTCTGGATAAGAGAAAATGGAATATAATACCAATAAGCATAACGTTAGCATAAGGCCAACTACCACCTTCCTATTTTCACACAGAAATCTTTGACCTTGTGTACAGAACCTCACTACTCAAAATGTTGTTCAGTAACATTAGCATCACCTGGGAATTAGAAATGCAGGTACTGAGGGCCCACCCTAAAGCTACTGGATCAGAATCAGCATTTTAGCAAGACCCCACCCCCAAGTGATTTATAAGCACATTCAAGTTTGAGAAGCAGTGGTATAGAACACCTGGGAGCACTGTTCATAGCAGTACACAGATAAAGTACCAACCAGGCAAATAAAGAGACAAATTACCTGTTCACTTTTATTTTATTGTGAACTGCTCAGTCACACCTCCAGTGTTTTCTTATGAATTTGGTACTTACTAATGACAAAATGATCTAAATGTGAATCTATTTCACTTCCTGAAATAACACAACTTAGCTCTAGGGCTTTCATAAACATGAGATATAATATAAAACAGCATAGTTACTCTGAAAATACAATTCAAGTTCCAACACTGAGTTCAAACACTTCTCCACATGCCCCATTAATTCCTACAGGTTCCTGGGAGTATCATTAAATCCCCCAGCATCCCTAAGAAGCAGGTGCTTGGCAAACATCCAATCTTCAAATGAAATTCAGAAGGATGTGGTCCTAAAAATGCAGTATTTTCCTCTGGCCTTGTCCTGCCAATGTAGTTTCTCAGGCCCAAACTCTCTCCCCCCCACTGAGGCCTCATACAGCTGCACACTCAAGTACTTCTCAAAAGGAAGAAAGGTGAGAGGTGTCATTATCCCATAAGCACTTGGGATTCCAGCTGTGGAGAAATTAATCTGATTAAGGGGTTCAGGCTGAGAAACCCTGAGTAAGGATCTAGAAAGGCAGAGGGAAATACAAAAGAAATAATCTACTAAAGGCTCTTAAAAGACAAGAGGTCCCAGGTATTTATAGATTTTAAGATGAGGGTTGGGAGTAAGGCTTGGCATATAGGTGATGGGAGAGACAAGGATCCATCCCCCCTCCCCCACCCCAAGGACAATAACAAAAATAATAACTAAGACATTCCTCCAAATGATCTCTTTTCTTAATAAAAGGAAAGAAGTAAGCCAGTGTAGGGAGGAAGTTTTTGAGCTGACAGCAAGACTAGAAGAATCTCTTGAGAGCTTTTCTTTTCCAATACAGGAAAATAAAGCAAAGGAGAAAACAGTATTCATTTAACCAGAAAGTTATAGGAAGCAAACCACCAGGCTGATTAAGAGTCCTGTGAATAACCAAAGAAATGAGAGAGGCTTCCTTCCCAGTTTAAGTTCAGCACTTGGGGCATCAGATAGTCCTGGACTTGAAGCCACCTTCAGTGTTAGGGGAAGAAAAGGAAAATCTGTACAGCAACCCAAAAGCAGAGCAGTGTCCAGAGTTAGAAACCAGGAAAACGCCTGGGTATAAGGCAAGCTGACAGAGAAGAGTTCCAATTAGCAAAAAGATAAAAGGCAAAGTAGACAGAGGAAAGAAAATATGCAGATACCCCTTTAGAAGGGAGAGCCTCCCTTTGGGCAAAGCGAATTCAGGTATGAGTATAGGAAGTATGCTCAGGGGGGGAAAAAAAGGTAACAGAAGCTGAGAAAGTGCTGTGTTAAAGATACCATTCATCAAAGAAAGAGCTCTAGCTGTTCTGATTTAGTGGATAGAGCAGTCTGCCTTAGAACTCAAGAATCCCAGGGACGATCCTGGTCAAGGGCACATTCTTGGGTTGCAGGCTCAATCCCCAGTAGGGGGCGTGCAGGAGGCAGCCAATCAATGATTCTTATCATTTATGTTTCTAACTCTCCCTCTCCAAAATCAATAAAAATACATTTTAAAGATCTTTATTTAAAAAAAGAAAATACAAGTACTAAGACTGATATCGATCTTAAAATTTAAAGCGGGGGGAGAAAAAAAAGGAACCGAGAGAGCATTACAGGGAATTGAGGTTCCAAAAATGGAAGGAAATTTAGGTGAAGGGAATGTTTTAGATGGCAGAAGAGCTATTTAAAAAAAAAAAAAACCATGGACTATCACCTGGGAATGAGAGGAGCCAGAAAAAAAAGATGTACCCTCCCAGATTTAAGAAGCATCAGGAAAGTGACTAAACCCTGAAAATTGCGTATTCAAAAGGGGTGTATCCCATACATTTGGGGAATACAAGAAACAAATACACCCTCAGATATGAAAATGAGTCTTCCTCAGGGAAACAGGATGTTCGATTTGGGTAACTAATAAAAAAGGATGCAAATCCAAAAAACGGTGACTGGAAGAGAAGCGAATTCCCTTCTTTGTGTAATTGCATGTATGTACCCTTAAACTTCAGGACTTGGATCTCATTTCTAGTAGTATCAAGAAATGAAGGGCTGAAGAAAGGAAGAAGCCCTTAAATTTAAGAAACTCTGGAAAGCACATTGCCAGATTAGGAGCCTGAAAAGGGGAGCCTAGATTTGTGGAAATATAAGTACCCCAAAACTTTGGTTATTGGACCCCAGATTTGAGAGACTCGTTAACAGGGCGAAGTTCCAAATCTGAAAGTGAGTGCTTACTCAGATTGAAGGCTCGAAAAAAGGAAGTGTCTTCCCAGTCTGGGGATCCTAGGAAAGGGGGTACATCCTCAGTTTGAGGGGGCTTTGGAAATTGAGATAAAAACCCCTGGGCTGGAGCTTAAGAAAAGGGGTGACCCACTCACATTTTCAAAACTAGAGAAAGAGGACACTCCCATAGTCGGAGGCTTGAGAAAGGGGTGTGCTCCCCAGAATAGGATAAAAGAGTCAATTTTCAAAAACGCATACCCAAAAAAATGAGGCAATAGCAAAGGCTGGTGGTGAAGGTCTCGGGGCCACAAAAGCTCAGGCTCTGCCCCCGGCGCTTACCACCCACCAACAACACCACCACCACCACCACCACCACCGCAGCCGCCGCCGCCACCACCGCCACGGCCACGGCCCGCTCCGCGCCCCAGGCCCGCACCCCGCGGCCCAGCCCCCTCGGGCGGCGCTGATTGGCTCAGGCTGCCATCACTCCCGCGGGCAGCCTTGGGGATTGGGCGCCGCTCGCACGCCCGCCACGCTCTCAGCAGCGGTCCCCGGGCCTCCCTCCGGGCTGGGCGAGACGGGCCAGGCGGGGAGCAGGGCCGGGCAGGGGACCAGAGTAGCGGTGGCGTCCGTCACCGTCCCCGCCCGCACGGCACGCGCCGGCGCGGGCCCGCCCGGACCGGCTTCGACCAGCCGGCTTCGCCTCGCCGTGCCTCACCGCGAGCTCACCTCACAGCCCCGCTCCGGCTGCGCCGCTTCAGGACCAACCGACAGAAGGACTCTGCGTGCTGCGCACCACGTGATCCTAGGGACGCGCCCAGCGTATACCCCGCCCCCACACATACGCACCATCGCCACCACCGAGTGACGCAGCCCCAGCGGCCCCGCCCTCGGCCCCGCCCAGTCTGATCACCATGACGACGGCTCGGCGGGCCACGCCCACTACAGTAACGCGCGGGAACCTGGCCAGCGCCCGGATCCCAAGCTCGAAGTCCCCACTCACCCGTAACCACTGAGATCACACGAAGCCCGGAGCTGGAGACTACCCATCACCTGTTAGTTTTGCCTCCTGAGTGCATGTAAAGCCTCCACTTTTCTCCATTCCAATACAAACACCCAGTCTAGGGCACCATCACATCTCTCCTGGATGATGGAGGTTCCTTCAGCCCCATTACTCTTCCCCCTCCTAATCCAATCTTAACACACAGTGGAAGCTTTCAAAACGCAAATATAATCACAGGCATCCTCTGCTAGAAGCCTTGTTTCCCACTGTTCTTCAGATACAGATCAGTGGTTTTCGCTGGAAGCCTATCTACCAGGCTCTTGAAAGTCTGAGCCTAACCTGCCACTCATTCTTACACATCCAGCTTCCCTCATTCTCAAACACTTTCAAGTGCTCAGACAATCCAGATTTCTTCCCACCTCAAGGCCTTTATACTATTCCTCCTTCACTTTGCCTCGTTAACTCCTAGGAAAGGATTCCCATAGCTGGTGCTGAGATGTGTTTTGTCTCCAGAGACCAAGATCAGAGTTGCAGCTACCCCAGAATGTTCCAGGATGTTTTCCCAATGGGACTTGAGAAGTCCCAAGGGAAAATGCTACTCATTTGTCATTTATAAGAGCAATAACAACTTTATTGTACATTGGAGAGAGGACAGAACAGCCAAATCGCACTTCCTAAATGTAAATCTAATCATGGCACTGCCCTGACTAAAACAACCAATCTCTTCATCAGCATTCTCCACCCTTGTTCATCCTCTAGGCACACTTCACTGATTTTCTGTCAGTTTCTTTGTTAAAAATATGATTTTATTGATTTGAGAGAGATAGAAACATTGATGAACAAGAAACATGGATGGGCTGCCTCCTGAATTCCTGCTACTAGGGATGGAGCCCTCAACCTGGGGAATGTGCCTTCAGCTGGAATTCAATCAGCGGCCTCCTGGTGCGTGGGTGGACTGCTCAACCACTGAACCATACCCGTAGGCCTCTGTCAGTTCCTATGGCTCTTTCCAAGCTTCTCTCTAGCTGCTAGGCCATTAAACAGGCTGCTGCTTTTTGCAAAGTTGACTCCATCATGTAGGTCTCAGTTCATCTCAGTGAGATCCTCTTTGGCTGCATTATCTAAAAGTGCTTCTCTCTACCACATGCCTCCCCAGGCAATTACTGTCTAACTTATCACTTGTGTTTTCAACAGAGCACAACACAATGTGTTATTATTTCACTTGTCTATTCTCTTGGTTGTATTTGTCTATTTCCTGAATTCAAATTAGGGACTAGCTTGTACCTTCCAAACTTTCAGAACCTGACAAATAATAGATACTCTGTGTGTATCTGAGGAAGGGATGAAAGAAAAGAGAATAATGTTAAAAAAAAAAATGGCAGGTTCTTCTTTATGACCTGAGTTCATAGGAAAGGTACTCTTCATATCAGGACTGGAGAGTGAAGAGGATATTGCCACAGCTGAAGTAGGACAAAGGGCAGTGCTTGGGAAGAGGTCCTGGGAAACCAGGAACAGAAGCTTAAATTGTGCTTATTTCCACAGCACACATACAAAAATTATAACATGCAGAGATCTAAGTAATCAAATATAGGGGAAAAGGGACCTTCCCAGGATTTTCTGGTTTCCATTTATTAACATGAAGTTGTCAACTGTTAATGACTGTGGTAATATATACAGAACTTTTCTTAATATATATATATATTTTTTAATATATTTTATTGATTTTGTACAGAGAGGAAGGGAGAGAGATAGAGAGTTAGAAACATCAATGAGAGAGAGTCATCTATCAGTTGCCTCTTGCACACCCCCTACTGGGGATATGCCCTCAACCAAGGTACATGCCCTTGACCGGAATCGAACCCGGGTCCCTTCAGTCCCCAAGTCGACGCTCTATCCATTGAGCTAAACCAGTCCCGGCTTTTTTAATATATTTTTATTGATTTTTCACAGAGAGGAAGAGAGAGGGATAGAGAGTTAGAAACATCGATGACAGAGATTCATCGATCAGCTGCCTCTTGCACACCCCCTACTGGGGATGTGCCTGCAACCAAGGTACATGCCCTTGACTGGAATCAAACCTGGGACCTTTCAGTCCACAGGCCGACGCTCTATCCACTGAGCCAAACCGGTCCTGGCAATATATACAGAACTTTTTGCCCCACAGCCACAGTAATGCCAAGAATCCCAAACTCCATAGCCCCATATAAATATAGCATGTTTATTCACTTATTCAACCTTCATGCATTGAGAAGGGCTGAACTTGGCACCAAAGCTAAAGAGCAGAATGACATTTAGTTTCCATTTTCAAGGAGCTTACAGCCTGGTAAAGAAATTGTCACAATTTGTAAGTTAAAATTCTTTTTGTCTGTTGCAAGCACAAGAAAAACAGAAATATTATAAAGAAGTATGTTGTTGGGCCACAGAGCATCAACAAGAGAGCAGGGAAACAATTGGGCCAGGAGCCACTATTGATTGGTCAATCTCAGGTCACATGTATTATAGTCTTGGCCAACCATGTGAGTATGACATGCTTAGTCTAGGCTCCCAGGGAGAGAAGAGAAGAGTAATCTGCTCCTTAGGATATCCCCACCAAAGGGCGACTGAGGGGAAAACTGATGCTGGCTGGGCAAAAAGAAATACAGATATGAATAAAGTATCTGTAAGCTCTTTCTGATTTTAAACCCTACAGAAACCTGGCTTGCTAACTTCTTTTTATTAAATTTGTTGCGCTGACATTGGTTAATATGATCTTATAGGTTTCAGACATAGGTTTCTATGTTACAAGGTCTGTGTATTGCACTGTGTGCCTACCACCCAAAGTCAAATCTTCTCCCATCACCATATATTAGAACCCCCTTCAATCCTCCACCCCTTCCCTCACTAACTTCTTCTTAACTGGACATTCACTGACTTCTAGCTAGCCACAGAACTCCAGTTTGCAATGTTCTAGTGTTAACCCTAATAAGCCAGTTTGGCTCTGTGGATAGAATGTCAGGCTACAGAAGTGTCCCGGGTTCCTTTCTGGTCAAGGGTACATAATGGGGTTGCTTGCAGGTTCCTCCCCGGCCTGGGTCCTGGTTAGGGACATGCAAGAGGCAATCCATTAATGTGTTTCTCTCACATCAATATTTCTCTCAGTCTCCCACTCTCTCTAAAAATCAATGGAAAAATATCCTTGAGTGAAGATTTTTTTAAAAATAACAAAATAAAAAAACAAAAACAGGTCTTACCACTGCCTACTAAGCAGCATTCACCTTTATGCCTTAAGATCCTTCCCAGTATCTCACTAGTAGTTGGTCTTCAAATTCCCAATTCTGTACTAGGTAGAGCCTTTCTTTGTACAGGATAGGTATTCAACTAATAGTTGTGATTGAATGAATGAGTGAAATATTGGCTATATAGCAACCTCAACTCCAGAGAGTAGAATCTCTTGCTATCTAACAATTTCAGAAGTATGGTCCCAACCAGTAAAAAGATAGCTCCACAATGTTGCCCTGCATATACCAAGGTATAAACAGTAGTAAAGCAGGCATTCAATACCTGTAAGGAAAAGTTCTTTCTCTCCTTAGGCATCACAAGTTCTTCATCTCTACAATGGGCTATCTATCCTCACTTATAGAATTGTCACATTTACATTAAATAACATCTGAGAAAATGTATTGTAAACTGTAAAGTTCCATATAAATAATTCTTAGTTGCTTTCTTACTAGATTTGTTGTCTAGGGTGTTCAAAAGGTCCCTAGATTAAGAGAAACAAAACTAAAGACCTAACATGAGATAGGATATTCAATTAGAAAAGTGATCTTTCTCAGCCTCTACCCAGAAGATCTTTATACTCTGACCTTATGTAAGCCCAAGGCACTTACAATGAGTTAAGGAAGAGGAGGAAGACTAAAACAGAAAAGCAAGTCTCTTAGCTATAAGCTGAAGACTCCATGTACTCAGAGTATCATCACGTTTGAGCATGTCAGTCTTGAAAGCAGGAACTGGGGTGTGATATCTGAAGAACCAAGCTGAGTAAGAGAGAGCTCAGGAAGCGGAAACCACAGTCACAGCAGCATCTTAAGAGGCCCAAGGATTTCCACGAGGTGCCGCGGACCCCAGGGAAGCAGGCTGAGTCGTGGCCTGGCCTGAGGCCTTCCGGTCTGGGCCTGATGGAAAGTCCTGAGCTCTCAAAGACTTGTTACTTTTCAAGTGAGGGGGCGGAGAATTAAGCAGGAGTCCCAATATAGTTTCAGCGTTTGAAAGATGATAAGGAAAGAGGGGAAAGAGGACAGAAGGACATTTTTTATTCTTGTCTTACCTACTAAAAAGAGTGATAAACCCACCTGGATTACTTCAAGAGCAGGGGTTATGTCCTGTGAAGTCCCAATACCTAGACCTGTTCCCTGTAAATTAAGCATACTTAATACCTCTTTCTTGTGGGTTAAAACTCCTGCCAGACGGGAGATAAAGGGAAAGGGAAAGGAGTTTAGTCCCAGGGACTAAGGAAATGGAGGTTATAAGGAAGTTGATTAAACAATCTCTAGCCCTGGCCCCTGTGGCTCAGAAGGTTGGGCATCTCCCATGCGTGAGAGGGGAGGGGTTGCTGGTTTGATTCTGGTCTGGGCACATGCCCGGGTTGCTGACTGAGCCATGCAGGAGGCAGCTGATTGATGTTTCTCTCTCACATCAATGTTTCACTCTCCGTCTCCCTTCCTCTTTCTCTAAAAATAAATAATTTAAAAAATAATGAACAGTCTCTAAACCTGCTGGTACTCCACTTTACTCCCCAAACAGCTTATAATTTAATTTTTTAAAAATATATTTTGTTGATTTTTTACAGAGAGGATGAGAGAGGGATAGAGAGTTAGAAACATCGATGAGAGA